GCTTGGTGTCTCCTGTGTCTCTGTGTCTCCATGGACACCGCGGGCTTGGTGTCCGTGGAGACACAGAGACACAGGGGACACCGTGGGCTTGGTGTCCCCTGTGTCTCTCTGTGTCTCTGTGTCTCTCTGTGTCTCCACGGACACCTGGGCTTGGTGTCCCCTGTGTCTCTGTGTCTCTGTGTCTCCATGGACACCGTGGGCTTGGTTTCCCCTGTGTCTCTGTGTCTCTGTCTACACGGACTCCGTGGGCTTGGTGTCCCTGTGTCTCTGTGTCTCCATGGACACCGCGGGCTTGGTGTCTCTGTGTCTCTGTGTCTCCACGGACACCGCGGGCTTGGTGTCCGTGGAGACACAGAGACACAGGGGACACCGTGGGTTTGGTGTCCCCTGTGTCTCTGTGTCTCTCTGTGTCTCCACGGACACCTGGGCTTGGTGTCCCCTGTGTCTCTGTGTCTCTGTGTCTCCATGGACACCGCGGGCTTGGTGTCCCCTGTGTCTCCCTGTGTCCCCACGGACACCGTGGGGACACAGGGAGACACAGGGGACACCGTGCGCTTGGTGTCCCCTGTGTCTCTGTCCCCACGGACACCGCGGGCTCGGTGTCCCCTGTGTCTCTGTGTCTCTCTGTGTCTCTGTCTCCATGGACTCCCAGGGGAGCTGCACGAGGCCTCCTTTTAGGTTAGCTCCGACTGAAATGTGTATCGGGGTGTGGGTAAATATCAGTGCGGGAGAGACAAAGGTGGCCGGGCCGTGGTCCTTGGCCTAAGAGCCCCCTCGTGCACCGTGCCGAACCTTAATAGGTGCTCGCTAACAGCACTCGCCCCCAGCAAGCTGTCAGGCTTGCGTGCGCCCAATTTGCCTCTCATACAAAACGAGGAACGTTCACACTTCCCTGCTCATTCGTACACAGAGAGCCCCCCACGTCTCTCACACACAGAGAGCCCCCCACGTCTCTCACACACACAGAGCCCCCCACGTCTCTTACACACACAGAGAGCCCCCCACGTCTCTCTCACACACACACACAGAGCCCCCCACGTCTCTCACACACACACACAGAGCCCCCCACGTCTCTCACACACAGAGAGCCCCCCACGTCTCTCACACACAGAGAGAGCCCCCCACGTCTCTCACACACACACACAGAGCCCCCCACGTCTCTCGCACACAGAGAGAGCCCCCCACGTCTCTCTCACACACACAGAGAGAGAGCCCCCCACGTCTCTCACACAGAGAGAGCCCCTCACGTCTCTCACACACACACAGAGAGCCCCCCACGTCTCTCACAGAGAGAGCCCCCCACGTCTCTCACACACACACAAAGTCCCCCACGTCTCTCTCACACAAACAGAGAGCCCCCCACGTCTCTCACACACACAGAGAGCCCCCCACGCCTCTCACACACACAGAGAGCCCCCCACGTCTCACACACAGAGAGAGCCCCCCCCGTCTCTCACACACAGAGAGAGCCCCCCACGTCTCTCACACACACAGAGAGCCCCCTACGTCTCTCACACACACAGAGAGCCCCCCACGTCTCTCACACACACAGAGAGCCCCCCACGTCTCTCACACACACAGAGAGCCCCCCACGTCTCTCACACACACAGAGCCCCCCACGTCTCTCACACACACAGAGAGAGCCCCCCACGTCTCTCACACACACACAGAGAGAGCCCCCCACGTCTCTCACACACACACACACAGAGAGAGCCCCCCACGTCTCTCACACACACAGAGAGAGCCCCCCACGTCTCTCACACACACACAGAGAGAGCCCCCCACGTCTCTCACACACACAGAGAGAGAGCCCCCCACGTCTCTCACACACACAGAGAGAGCCCCCCACGTTTCGCTCTCTCGTACACACACAGAGAGAGCCCCCCACGTATCTCACACACACACAGAGCCCCCCACGTCTCTCTCTCGCACACACACACAGAGAGCCCCCCACGTCTCTCACACACACACAGAGCCCCCCATGTCTCTCTCACACACACAGAGAGAGCCCCCCCACATCTCTCTCTCTCGCACACACACACACAGAGAGCCCCCCACGTCTCTCTCTCACACACACACAGAGAGCCCCCCACGTCTCTCTCACACACACACACACAGAGCCCCCCACCTCTCTCTCACACACACAGAGAGCCCCCCACGTCTCTCACACACACAGAACCCCCCACGTCTTTCACACACAGAGAGCCCCCCACGTCTCTCACACACACAGAGAGCCCCCCACGTCTCTCACACACAGAGCCCCCCACGTCTCTCACACACAGAGAGAGCCCCCCACGTCTCTCACACACACACACAGAGCCCCCCACGTCTCTCGCACACAGAGAGAGCCCCCCACGTCTCTCTCACACACACAGAGAGAGAGCCCCCCACGTCTCTCACACAGAGAGAGCCCCTCACGTCTCTCACACACACACAGAGAGCCCCCCACGTCTCTCACAGAGAGAGCCCCCCACGTCTCTCACACACACACAAAGTCCCCCACGTCTCTCTCACACAAACAGAGAGCCCCCCACGTCTCTCACACACACAGAGAGCCCCCCACGTCTCTCACACACACAGAGAGCCCCCCACGTCTCACACACAGAGAGAGCCCCCCACGTCTCTCACACACAGAGAGAGCCCCCCACGTCTCTCACACACACAGAGAGCCCCCCACGTCTCTCACACACACAGAGAGCCCCCCACGTCTCTCACACACACAGAGCCCCCCACGTCTCTCACACACACAGAGAGAGCCCCCCACGTCTCTCACACACACACACAGAGAGCCCCCCACGTCTCTCACACACACACACAGAGAGCCCCCCACGTCTCTCACACACACACAGAGAGAGCCCCCCACGTCTCTCACACACACAGAGAGAGCCCCCCACGTCTCTCACACACACACAGAGAGAGCCCCCCACGTCTCTCACACACACACAGAGAGAGCCCCCCACGTATCTCACACACACACAGAGCCCCCCACGTCTCTCTCTCGCACACACACACAGAGAGCCCCCCACGTCTCTCACACACACACAGAGCCCCCCATGTCTCTCTCACACACACAGAGAGAGCCCCCCCACATCTCTCTCTCTCGCACACACACACAGAGAGCCCCCCACGTCTCTCTCTCACACACACACAGAGAGCCCCCCACGTCTCTCTCACACACACACACACAGAGCCCCCCACCTCTCTCTCACACACACAGAGAGAGCCCCCCACGTCTCTCTCTCTCGCACACATACACAGAGAGAGCCCCCCACGTCTCTCACACAGAGAGAGCCCCCCATGTCTCTCTCACACACACAGAGAGCCCCCACGTCTCTCTCTCTCTCGCACACACACACAGAGAGAGCCCCCCACGTCTCTCTCCGCCTCCCTCTCGCCTGAGTCGTCCTCTGCATTTGCTTTGTGTGGCCGCGAGTGACGATTCCGCCGCACGGTTTATATAAATAAATAATGAATGCGTTATCTTAATTTAAAGCTTTCGTGACTGGATAAATTCATATTCTTTGGGTCTTTCGGTACACTCACGTAGATAGGTTAAAAATAATAATCAAAAATAACGGAAAACTACGACGTTTCGATCGCAACACAAGCGGCCGTCTTCTTCAAAAGAAGAAACGTCGTTTTTAGCAACAGCAACAACAGCAACAACAGCAGCAACAGCAACAACAGCAACAACATCATCCTCTGTTGGGCCTTTTGCTCTGCGTCGCCCGCCTCCAGCTGGCCGCGTGGTGTGGTGAGAGCGTGGGGAGGTCACGTGGCCGCGTGGTGTGGTGAGAGCGTTGGGAGGTCACGTGGCCGCGTGGTGTGGTGAGAGCGTGGGGATGTCACGTGGCCGCGTGGTGTGGTGAGAGCGTGGCGTGGTCACGTGGCCGCGTGGTGTGGTGAGTGTGTGGCGAGGTCACGTGGCCGTGTGGTGTGGTGAGAGCGTGGCGTGGTCACGTGGCCGTGTGGTGTGGTGAGAGCGTGGGGAGGTCACGTGGGCGCGTGGTGTGGTGAGAGTGTGGCGTGGTCACGTGGGCGCGTGGTGTGGTGAGAGTGTGGCGTGGTCACGTGGCCGCGTGGTGTGGTGAGAGTGTGGCGTGGTCACGTGGGTGCGTGGTGTGGTGAGAGTGTGGCGTGGTCACGTGGGCGCGTGGTGTGGTGAGAGTGTGGCGTGGTCACGTGGCCGCGTGGTGTGGTGAGAGTGTGGCGTGGTCACGTGGCCGCGAACGAGACGCAGCGAGGCCACACCGCGGTCCAAATTTGTGATGATGATTTTTGTTGTTATTGTTGCGAGGTCGCCTTTTATGGTGCGGTATGGTGTCGGTGCTCTCATCTCTTACGGAGTGGTATGGTGTCGGTGCTCTCATCTCTTACGGTGTGGTATGGTGTGGGTGCTCTCTCATCACTTACAGTGTGGTATGGTGTGGGTGCTCTCTCATCACTTACGGTGTGGTATGGGGTGGGTGCTCTCTCATCACTTACGGTGTGGTATGGTGTGGGTGCTCTCTCATCACTTATGGTGTGGGTGCTCTCTCATCTCTTACGGAGTGGTATGGTGTGGGTGCTCTTATCTCTTCCAAGGCATCTGCCCGGTATTGAGAAGTGGGCTAAGCCCCCTCTCTCGACAGGGGCTCTCTAAAGCGCCCCCTGCTGGAGGCTGTCGTACGGACGTCGAACTCCTTTCGCACCGTACGTAGCCAACCGTGCCCGTCGGAGGTGCGGAGGCAGCAGCGGCGCGAGTGGGACGCCTCGCCTCCCACCGGAGTTGTTGCGTGCTTTGTGTTTGTAGGAGGCCTGATGACGGCTCTAACTGGATCGAGTTCGTCACCAGCAGCTTTTGTTGACTCTGCGCGCGTTTGTCGCATTGCCAATGCCATCGTCGACAGGACCTAACGGATCTATTCGGCGTTATCTGTTGAGGACTTTTGCGCAAACAGTTTCTAACCAAATTACATGAGCGGTGAGTCGGTAAAACCTCCTCCGGGTGTCTCCTGCAG